CCCTCATCGCAGGCACCCGAGGTGAGCACACCTGCTCCTCCCTCTCCCCTACCTCTGCCTAGGGTTTCTACCTCCATCAAATTAGTTAGGGTGGAAACGAATCGGATGCGGATGCGGCTCAAATGAGTTAGGGTTCATGTAAGGGTGGAAACGAATCAAATTTCTAAGATGAATCATAAAACGAGTAAAATTTGACCACTTATTTCACTTTATAGTTGGATAATAGGAATATCCTCTACCACTTTCCACCCCTATAGGTTCATCAAATTAGATGGTAATTAGGGCAGTAGTTCTTAGGTACTAATTAGTTAGTAAGAACTAGGTACTAATTAGGTACTAGAATATTTTTATTTATAGTAAGTTTATTTCTAGTAAGAACCAGTTGAATTAATAGAACTAGTTAGTAAGAACTTGTTGCTATTTTTTTAGTTAAAACAATTTTCCTGCATCGACGTGGACGATGCCTATCCCGCATCCTCGTCGTCGAATCGGCGGAGGACGACACCTGCTTGACCAGATGGGCCATGTCCGGGACTGGGCTCCGCCGAGGTGATACTGGGAGGCGCTACCTATCGGGGGGCGCAGGTTGGTGAGGAGCCAGCCTGTCGTTGACCCGAACCTTCTTTGGTGGCGGTCGCGTGGGCCAGTGACGGTCCAGACGCTCGAGGACTCCGCGGAGGTGGTGCGTCACCATGTCAGTGAGGAGGACGCGCACGTCCGTCGCTACTTGTTTGCGTTGGAGCACAGGTTCTCCAATACCTGGCAGGTTCTCCAGGGATCTCACTGGAGCTATGATCCCGTGATGGTTCCTTCTCTGTGGGTGTCCACCGCCCGCGCCGATACCCGTCGTGTGCTAGGGTTTTAGTTGTACTAGTAATGTTATATGTATGACACTATTCGGGATGTATTAGTGATAATATTCGACGACGTACAGACGCATGAGATGATTTACTTTTGCTTATTGAATGCATGCTAATTTGAGTCTTATAAGATATTTTGAAATGTATATCTTGTGTTGCTCAATATCCAAGTGGCCGGTCATGTTTGCAGGTTACACCTCCGAGTGGCCTATATTTTGCCGGAGTGTTGATTCATTTCCGTTCCGGCAAATTTCAGGCGCTCGATATATCCTATTTTAGCAAAGGTCATGCCGGATTTTTCCGTGAATTTTGGCATGACTTTTGCCAGAACATGTAGGAAATATCGAGTGCCCCGGATTTGTGTGTTGAGTATACTGGTAGTTGTCTTCTATCGATCTTCAATTAATGTTTTAACTATGAACATAGGAAATGTCTCACGACAAAAAGGATTTCGGTATTTGCAAATACTGCGAAGACGAGCGCGGCCTGTGCGACGGAATCTTCCTAGATGATGATAGGCGCTTCAGCATCAAGCTGGACGAGAACTTCGAAGTGGATACAGTAAGTCACAACGACAAGTCTTTTTTCGTAATTAAGCATGACATCTGCTTCATTTGCTTCAACTTATATTTTTTTTACTATTCTACTAGCGTATCCCCTGCCATGCAAGAGTTTTTGTATTGGATAAGATAGGTTTCAGTCATACTATGGAGGTAAAGAAAGTTTATTTGAAGACCGAGCATGGTTATATTTTCCACGCAAAATTATACAATTCAGATGACTACACCTATTTTGGATGCAAAACATGGCGAGCACTATGCAAGACTTATGCATTTCAGCCTGATATGGTTATCACTTTTGATATTCGTCCGGAAGATGATATTGAAGGTAATACCGACATCTGGGTCGATGTGCAGACGCCTCTAGTTACACCAAAATGTAAGTTTTTCAACCATATTTATGTCTTTGATATTGTTTATTCAAAAATAGTTGACAACTAATTTGTATTGTCAGCTTATTTCGGTGCAAGCAAACATGTCCAGCGCTTGGTAGACAGGACCTACTACTGTCCCGGGGCTGAGCTAAACTGCGAGGAGCTAAGTCATTATGTTTCATGGCTTGATGATCTTGATAATGTCAAGACAAATTTTCTTCCCGGACTTAGAAATCTTAGTACTGAAAACGTGCGACCAATAGTGTTCGTCATGAACTACGGTCACATCTATTTAGGAAGGATGGTAAGATTTTCCATACATTATTTGTGAAGCTAAACTTCATTGCTAAGTATGTGACCATACGATGTTCTTCAACAGGGACTCCCGATGAATGTAGTGCCTTATGGGATCGAGACTAAATGTACCATGAGTATTATTAGCTTACGGCCAAGATATCCTACATGTTACTTTAGTGCATTCAAGATCAAGGATGAATGCTTAATCGTGCAAGACTAGACCAGATATGTGATGGGGGAGCGCAGAGAAGTACTAGGGGGCAGCAAACAGATGTGCTACCCAAAATTAGGAGACAGGTTCATCTGCATGCTCCAACTTGATCAAGGAGGAGAGCTACACATGTTTTATGTTGTTTTACCTAAGAGAGAGCAGCAGGAGTGATTAGCTAGAAATGAGTTTGAGGATGATGATGTGCTACACTATTACTATGATGATAAAATAGCTAGTGTTGGTGGTAATGACTGATGATTATTATTAGCTAGTTTTAGTGGTGATTAAATAAATATTGTTGGTGGTAATGATTATGATGATGATTAAATAGCTTGTGCTGGCAGATTAGATTCAAGTGGAGGCAACATGTGGTGCACATCGAAAGTACTACTAGTCCAAACTAGATCAAGTTTGGATTAGTAGTATACTTTTGACATGCACCATATATCGCCTCCACTTGAACCTAATCCACCTTCATTTGACACACTGTTATGGACATAATGATGTAAACCTCATAACTGGTATTGTACCAATATTTGTACGATGGCGCATAAATACACTAAAAATAAAAAAAATAAAAAAACAATACTAGTAGCGATGGAAAGAAAACACGCTGCCAGTAGTTACATTAGCAGCAGCGAGGGAGCGAACAAGCGCTGCAGCTATTTGTCCTAGCAGTAGCGCGTGCGGCACACGTTACTGCTAAGCAATAGCTGTAGCGCCTTATTAGTAGCGCGCCTACCCGCGCTACTAGTGAGCACAAAACCAGCGCTACTGCTAGGGTTTTCCCTAGTAGTGACTCGCCCTCTCTCATCCCCTCCACTCCCCCCCTCCGATCTTCTTTGTTT